GGCTACTAAATGATAATCATAATCACAACAGTATCAGATCATAAATCATAATATAGAAAAACACCAAGATAACTGAAACACCAAGTACCAGAGAAACATAAAGGAAAATCCATGATGCAAAAGTACCAAAACATAATGAACTCAAAATACTGGGTCCAACGGACCCAGAACCGTGACAGAACCTACCTTTCTGTTTAAAAAGAAAGACACCAAACTTTGACCAGTATGTAAATTATACCTTATTATTCTATTATCTAGATTATGTGAATGTGTTTACAGCCTAAAGTGAAGTGTGTGAATTTACATACAACTTGCCATCGGGTATATTTGCTTACTCATTTCTAACTGACGTGCTTGGCTGCTAAAGTTAGTGCTAAACAAGAACAACAGGTTTTACTGTGTATCTTTGACAGCCCACATGACAGGGTAATCTAAAAAACCGTAACATAACTAGCTCTTTGCATGCTTATTCGTCCATTAATTACTTTTAAACACAAGAACCCCAAACTGAAAGAATAATATGCAGATTGGAGCATTTATTTAACTCACAAATGATAAAAATATAGGCAGACACTTTGGGTAAAACAGTATTTGCATTGTCATTTGGTCATTTTAACTCATCACTGATGCTTCCTTTCAACATCTACTAACCACAGTGTTATTCAGCTGTGTGAGGCCAATACAAATGTTTTTTTGTTTCTCATGTCATATAAAGTATTTTATGCCATTGGATTGATGGCTTTGCTCCTAAATATGGCACATCATTTTGTTATCTATATATGAATCGACAAATAACAGTATGATCCCTGCTTTAAAGAAATTGGTGTATAGTATTCAGAATACCATTTTACTACAATTAGAATAGACAAATAAATCTACCAAACACCACATGGACTTGATCAATACACTATGTAGTTGAATATCTACCACTTGTAACCACTTGTATAATGGCATACCAATAATTAGAGGTATGCCATCATACAACATAGCATACCACTTTATCTATCCATGAAGCCAGATAGGACACAACAATTAGTTAAACTGCAGTTGTCTTAAAGACATAAACACCATGGATGGCCTCTAATTTTCTGCTTCTAAATTCACATAAAACTGAGGTTATTGTACTCAGCCCTAAAAATTGTAGAAATATGGTATTTAACCGGATACTTATTCTGGATGGCATTACGGTGGTCTCCAGTAACACTGTGAGGAACCTTGGCGTCATTTTTGACCAGGACATGTTCTTTAATGGACATATTAAACAAATATGTGGTACTGCTTTTTTGTATTACCGTTATATCTTTGAAATTATGAATATCCCGTCTCAGGATGACGCTGAAAAACTAGTTCATGCATTTATTACTTCTAGGCTGGACTATTGTAATTCATTATTATCAGGATGTCCGAAAAACTCCATGAAAAGCCTTCAGTTGATCCAAAATCAAGAGTACTGGCAGGGACTAGAAAAAGAAAGCATATTTTGCCTATATTGGCTTCCCTTCATTGGCTCCCTGTTAAATCCAGAATC